GTATTCTAAATACCACCTTTTTAAACGGTAACTGTAACGGAATACAGTTACTCATATTTTGTATTTTAAATACGTAACGGAGGTACATGTATTCCCTTACTCCCCAACACTGCCTTAATGAAGCCCTAATGTTAGTGCTTTGGCTGTGCAATTAATGCAACTTTGTATCCATTTGCTATTTCAGTAATAATAATATGCACTTTAGCACACTGCTGGTCTTTTAAAATAGTTTACGCATTTTTTGTGTTACTGCATTAATGTTTGCAAAAATGTATCCATCTAGATGCTGACTTGGTGTGTTCTGTAAACCTATCCACAGAGCTCTTCTCAGTGCCCAGCCTCACCATGTCTCCCACTGAAGTCTTTCAAGGGGAAATTATGACATTGACCTGCAACAGTGATCGTTTTGCCTCTCAAAGAATCAACAGGGAGGATTTGGACTACACTCTTTATCCATCTAAAAACTTACCAAGCTCTGGTAAACCTGGAGTATTTAATGTGAAGGCCCTGCAGAATGATTTCAACTACACCTGCTCAGCTGAAGCCAAAGGCATCAAGAAAGATAGCAAAACCCTGATGATTCGTCCTAAAGGTGAGTTTTCTTTATCTCTGTTTGGGTCCAGGGTATAGTGCACACTGATGCCCTTCTGGTGCTTCAGTGCATAAATGTGTCAATAAATAGCTTCATCTCTAAATGCACTGATGTGTCCATGTGGCACAGGCAGTGTAGTAGGTTGTCCCTCGTCTTCACGTAGCTTTGCGTGATGTGTGCAGAGACAATGTGTGAGTCCTGGTAAATGTGCTCTAATGGTTCATCAGACTAAAAAATTGTTATGTCAATGCAGTCAAGTCCATTTTACATACAAGTCATGATAGGACTGCTTCTACATTGGTGCTGGCCCAGCTCTTGTGTTATAGTTATCAGTTATCACCTGAATTAAAAGAAATCCCATTTCAGTGAAAAACAAACAAAACAAAAGCTACTAGTTGCTTAAATAAATAAACAAATAAAAATAATAAAGTGCATCGCCAATTTAATAGACTACGCTTATTCCCATGGCATCAGATACTTTTGTCAAATCACTGCCTGACACTCGTAGTTTAGACAGATCAGTTACTCCTAAATCATCACATAAGGACAATGTTAAGGACCATTTAAATGCACAGGGAAAGCAATGTGTGAGGTACTAAACTAAGCCTTTTGTTAAACCTAATGCCTGAACCTAACCAGTAAGTTCAACATAAAACTCCCAAACAGGACATGAGCTGCGTTCTCCAAGCTGGCAAACCTGTGACCCGCCACCATCACCCAGGATGGGTGTTTTCACATTACTCCATCAAGGCAATAATGCCAAAGGATCATTTGGATTTGGAGATAGTAGCACCATCTGATAGGAAATAGGTGATACCCTTGGTAGACATGTGCTACACTAGAGTTTTGTCAAGTTTTAGTTTGTGTAGCTGATATAGAGTAATAATAATAATGGAATAATAATAATGGTAACACTGGAAACTAGAACCAAGAATCTTGGCTACGAAATTTGACTTGAAAATAAAATATAAAATATACTTCAGGGAAAAAACATCTGAGAAATCTGAAATGTAAAAATTGTCAGGAAATGTTTGCTGTGTATCATTTTTTCAAACATCAAAAATGAATCATAGAGTTTACTGTGATTGATTGAAATTCAGCTTTTTGTCTTCAGCTAACCGTAGCAGTTAGTGGAGGCGGCTGGCCCACGATTTTGTATTTATTTCACTGTGAATAACCAGATGCATCAAAATCTCCTTATTTTGCTGTTTTTACCAATTTAACCACACTGACAGTAACTAAAATTCAATTTAAATTTTAAGCAATAAAAACTACCAGTGTGTAAATCAGCAAACCCATTCTGAGACATGAAAATTAACCAAAAACATTAATTAAAAATTATTGTTTTATTGCAGTCATAGCTCTTAATAAAAGCTGATAAAAAAATTCTTCCTTTCTTAGTATTATTACAACATCGTCGTATCCAGTTTGATAGCTGGAGTTGGGCCCAGTTATCAAACAGGCTGCTAGTCCAACAAAAAAAAAACAACCATTCAGGTTCACAAAATTAAAAATCACCTTTTAATCAGCAAGAAGACTTTCATTAAATTGTGAATAATTTATGTTTCTACACTATGACACAAATAGCCACTATTTAAACCTTCAGCAGCAACTTTTGTTTTACTTTTTCAGTTCATAAAGTCTGTGCTCTGTTCCTCCTCTGTAGTTCACGTCTCTGCTCTAAAGATTTCAATTGAGGACAAGGTGATCCTGAAAAAGAGCTTCACCATCTTGTGTCAGTCGAATGGCAGCCTGCCGATAAACTACACCCTGTTTAAGAATAACGTCCAAGTGGGCACAAAAGTCATCCGAGAGCGAAATCGACAAGCTGTCTTCATGGATGTCATCAAAGAGCCTGGTGAAATACAGTACAGGTGTGAGGCGAAGAATAGTCTCCATTCCAACAAAACTGGCTCCAGTCAACACCTCAGCGTGAATGTCATCGGTAAACATTTAAGCCTAACTGATTTTTTTGTTCATTTCTTTACATTTTTTTTAAATAAAAGATGGGAGATGAGAATATATAGAACATTTGGGATAAAGGGTGGAAACCAACAGAAAGAGCTAGCCTGGCTCTGTCCAGTGGCATCTTTAAAGGGAATTTTGCCCTATGTAAAATATCACTTTGACCACCAGGTGGCAGTGTTTTAAAAGTGGGCACATTAAGATTTGGATTTATTCGATTTTTAAATGCAATGCAAATTTAAATTTCAAAATTTAAATGCAATTTTTAAATGCATGCTGTGGAAGAGTTCGGGTCTTAGGAGGTTAAAGGGAATTTTGTCCTCTGTAAAATATCACTTTGACCACCAGGTGGCAGTGTTTTAAAAGTGGGCACATTAAGATGTTTTTGGATTCATTCGATTTTTAACTTTTAGCGTTTATCTTTAATTCCACCTCTATTTCCTCGAGAAGCTTTGCTTTCGCCGGGGTGACATTGTAAATAAGAACTTATTGTTAATGATTTGTCTGGTTAATTGAAGCTTGCATTTACTCACTGCAACACCTTTTGGCATTAAGTGGTATAACATGAAAGGACCACCCAACCCTAACTCTATTGTGTGTGTATTTGAAGAGATAGTGTGTATCTCTTCAAATCAGTACACACACAGTTTGAACTTGCATTCTGTTCAAACTTTTAGTTACATTTACAACAAGAAACGGTGTCCTTCTTGTTTAATCTACACAAAAACCGCTGTAAACACTGTAAGCTTAAGTTCTTGTTTTAAAGCCAAAGTAAAACTTTACAATGCTGCCTAATCTCACCTCTTTGCTTCTGTGTTTTGTTCTCCCAGTGCCTTTGAGCCAAATGACTCTGGCCGTCATCCCTTCTTCACTAGAACTCTCAGAGGGAGAAGAACTCCATTTCATATGTAGTGTTAATGGCACAGGGCCAGTCACCTTTAAGTGGTACCGAACCGGCAGTGTAGTACCGTTGCAAACCAACACCACCACAGAGACCTACTCAATCTTGGAGATAAAACCAGTCTCCAAAAATGACAGTGACGAGTACTACTGTGAGGCTTCCAACGGCGCCAACAAGGTCAGAAGTGAGCACGTAAATGTACAAGGTGAGACTGAGCTCAGCAGGCATCACCCTGCTCTTATTGGTCGTACAGTATTTTATTTCAATGTCAGAAACAGCCCCAAACCATGATCTTTTCTTCAGTCTAACCAAGTCTTAAGTCCTGCAGGAAATTTATTTTGCATTGCAATACCACAAGTAGCCAGTAGGACAGAAAGGCAGCTAAGGTGGATGGATTCACTATGACTTTAGCGAGTTAGTTTAGCACATGTTCTGTCCCAGA